CTTTGAATATGTAAAAGTAATTTCAGCTTTTGCTACCAGAGGTGATAAAAAGCTGATAATAACACTGCAGCATCTATTGTAATTTAAGAGCCTGTTCCACCAACTTGCACCTAGCTTTAATTTTCTTATGAAGCTGTCAGCCAAAACCAAGCCTGTGATCAACGTGAAATTTATCAAGCAACTGAGCTACAACGTGGAGAGTAAATGCAGGTACTGCCCAGTTCACTTTAGACCTGCATTATGAGTATCATTACAACCATGATGAGGCATTCAAGACGAAGGCATTAATTTGCTATCGTAGATGCTGACATTCTGTCTTTTCAAAGCACAGCATTTGCATGGAAGTCTAGGAGGAAATGGACAGGTCTGACCATGTAATTAATGTGGGAAAGCAGAAATAAACAATCTCCCCTTCTTTTCTCCCCGCCCCCTCCCCAAATAGCTGGGTTGAAGGTTCTCCCTAGCAGCTCATGGAAATGTGTTCAAAATCTCCACTTTGTTGTGGGCATGGTGGATTGATGAGCATCGATTCTCTGCTGTCAGTGCCCCACTCCATTAGAAACTGGGCCGCTATAATTAACATTTACAGGACTAGTCTGGCAAATCTGTGTTTTGTTTTTATTCAGAATTCCCTCACAGGGGTTGTACACTCGTCTGGTGTGATGATTCGTAGCCTTACATGTACGCAGGCACCACGGCTGTTGGTTAATCACAAGTACACTGCCTGAGAAACAGAGGTCCTGAGGCACAAGCACGTTGCTTCCACGAGCACTAGCGCCTTAGCGTTTGCACTGGCATACAAAGCAGAGTCCGCCAGTGGCCCTCTCTGCTCAGCCGTGAGAGGTGAAGGGCCACAAGGGCTGGATCTGAAAGGTGCTGCGGCAGCTCAAACACAGGCTTCCCCAAAACTAATCCAGCTTCCCTCGATGTGAGATCAGCCCATTCAGCTGCCCTTCCCTTCCTGCCTTTTTCCTTCGCTCCAGAAATACTTTCTGTGTCGGTAGCAGCAGCAGCCTGTCTAGGGAGTCTTTGCATTTACCCTTCAGCTCAGTGGAGACAGTGTTGAGCGTGATTCAGACAGGAGATGAGGAAGGTTCAGTGGCACTGGCAAATCTTTGCAGGGAAAGACTCCCTATCACACTGATCATTTGCAATCACAGAGAAAGGACTGAGCTCATGTCAGGTCAAGAGAAGGACAAAAATGGAAAGGGGTTTCTGTTAAGTAGATGAACTTGTTCATCCCTTGGCAGGGCAATAGGAAACCTCAACAGATATTTAAGTAGACCTTGCTGATACTGCTCATTAGAGAGCAATAGCATGCAAGTACACCAATAAATAGTTACATCTTTGATAATCCCTATCAGTAGCAAACTGCATATCATTTAGGCTAGGGAGGGGGAACTAACAGCTGGGGTGCCAATATGACTTGAACTTGTGTCAGATAACCTGGTAATATAATAATCGCATTGTTGTGCCCCTGTATCATTACTGGCTAAGATCAAGGTGTGCTTTAATGTGTGACTCACCAAATGCATTTGAAAAGCATGTTCAGCCCTCACTATAGGGGAGGTTTCCTGTTCCTAAATTAGATGACACTGACAGTCTTGACTCTACCTGTTATCCTAAACTAGTCTCTCTGAGGAATAGTATTGATCCATGTAAGTATTTCGGAGAAGTTCAGTGCCATCTGGGCAGCACATGCATTACTGGGTAGCAATCTGCAGTTAGATCTTTGAGGTGAAGATAATCCTAAATGCTCTAAACATCAAGGTCAAGTAATTTTCATTATGTGCTTTGTTTATGTTGTCAAGATGTGAATTTAACAGCAGTTAACATGGATGAAAGTTCAGCTAAGGAAGTGGACTCAATCCCCTGGACTAACTGAGCTGTTCCCTGCACTCATAGTAATCACGGGGCCTAAAGGGACTCTGAGCCATCTTCACTGACCCCGACAGACCTCGTCCTCTGGCAAGAGTCCCGAAAGGCTGTTCACACGAAGGCTGCTTTGGCAGTCAGCTGCCTTCACTAAGTACCCCTATTGGCAGGATTTGAATATTCACACTGGGAGCTTGGATAAGGGAACAGCACAGTAGCTACTACAGTGGCTGTATCACTGTCATGATAAATAAACAGCGTAGAATAATATTCATTATCCAAAAGGCCATCACATGTGTTAGCCTGAGGTTAGCTGAAGCCTTCAAAGATTTTAACCACTCCTTTTCTGGAAAGGAGAGCGGGGCTGATGATGGGAAGAAAGTTTCTAGCAATGAAGAAAGTTTTTAATTGGGAACCATAAAGCCTTCAAAGCACAGAAGGTAAATACTAGAACAAACCAAAGTTGTGGGGTTTGTTTGGTTGGTTTTATGAAGTCATGATCCGGGGGCTTGATTCATGGGTATTGAACATCTGGGGTTTGCTTTGTTGAGACTGGAGTTCCATTTCTGTGCTAGTCTTTACACTGACACCTTTTTTTTTTGTATGCTTACTATTTTTTTGCTTTTTGAATGTCAATAGTAGACTGAACATAACCATCTCTGACTCTGAGAAAAAGATTTAAGAGGAGAAACTCATTTAACTTGGAGTCTCTCAGCCCAAACCCCTGGAGTGAGTAAGCAACAGGAACTCTGAGAAAACTGGAATAAAACATGAAATCTTTACACTGCTGAAATTTGTGCCTTAAAAACTAAATATAGGATTGAAAAAGATCTTGAACTGAATTAGGACTGAGGCTATTTTTATTTATTTTTAAGAAGAGCGAAAACAGAGCATTTTAAATAAAATGCCGGTTCTGCACAATTAAATCCCAAATTGGAATAGCATCAGAAGATACTCTGCTGTAAAGACAGAGAGAGAATTCAGAACGTAGTCCTTCCCATGGAAAGGATAAAGGCAGAATTTTGTAATGTATTATTTAATGCTTGTTATGTAGTGCATTAAGCAGTCACTGAGAGGGAAGCTTTTAAAAACCAACAGCCTCTCTGATAGCATTAAATCTTACCTTAGGTTTTTGGTTAAGTCAATGTTAAGAAAATAAACGAATTAATATATTTCAGTCTGCCCGATTTATAGAGGCCAATCAAGTTCCAATGCTGGACATGGCCAACTGAAAGAGGGGAATAGATTTACCTGAGTGAGGTCTTAATTTAATCAGCTGGCCCCAGAGAGCTGAAGTCAGCAGGCTGGGATGATATAAGAGGCAACAGAGAAATAGTGCCTTTACCGCAGTCGAAAAGAAGAATGACAGTGATGGAAAGGAGTCTAGGCAGTCTCAGAACACACCGATTTCCATGATTTATTCTTAATTTACTTTAATGACAGTCTGAAGGTTGTCCATTTTTCTTTAAGTGTCCTCAGAATACTGATATTTTCTAAACATTTAGAGCATGATTTTTCTCCCCCTCCTTTCTGTTAGCTCCATTGCAAGTTGAAATTGAAGAGGAGCTATGTCTGCATTTTGCCATAATGAATTTTGAGTGCAGTGTCAGACTACCCTTTTCCCACTGTATACCTTGCCAGCCAGTGTCCCTTCTCTGCAGTCACCCTTGAGTCAGGTCTAGGAATCACAGGTTCCTCTGGGATTAATGTTGATATTATGATAAAATGGAGGAATTCATTGCATTTCTTTTACAGTTTATACTGGCAAAAGAACAATGTGTGCTTTCCCAATACAATAGCTCATTTTTATTATCAAGTGAATTTATTGATGGTTTTTCAAAACTACTGACATGCAGACAATGATCTCAGATTGCATTTACATTTCTGGAATGCTTTCCATCTTTCCAGTTTCTGCCAGGAACTTGCTTCTGTGATTCAGAGTTTTTATTTTAAGATTGGACTGTTGTTTAATCTGCATTACAAATCCATGCCTTTTACTTTCTTGTGTATGTGCACTGCATTCATTAGTATCACAAGTCCTTTAAGCTTGGACCTGAACAATTACTGTTAATTTATAAATTCTTCCAGGTAGGAATTTGGTTTTTTGCCAGGCACTCGGATATGCTTTTACAGATTGACTGTAAAATCATCATCCCATCATCAGATGAAATAGTGATTTTTTTTTTTTCCCCACAATGCCAGTGAGAGGGTTCAAGGGCAATATGATCTCAGTAATACTTGCAAATAGCTTGGGAATGTCAAGATAACTGGAGACACTTATCAGTCATTTTCTCATTTTAAAAAAGCCATGTTTTTTTAATAAAGGACTACTTTCTTATGAACCTAGTCCTTTATATAAAAGATGCCTGGAAATGCCCCAAAATGCACCTGGAGGGAGAAAAAAGCTCCAGTGATATTGTTCCATACTTTAAGAAAAAAAATCCTTGTACTCGCTAGGAAAAACAATGAAACAAAACTTGAAGCATTTTCTCTTTGTAGCCACTTTTTTGCCCATGTTGATGAACAAGTCATATGAGATACCTCTGTATTTCCTCGTGTCAGCAATCTTTCTTGCCAGGTTGTCTTACCGTATCAAGGGTTGCATGTTGCTTTAAAGTTAAGGGTAGTGGCAAAGCAGAAAGAAGCTGGGAAGTTGACTGTTACATTAAGTCAATACGCTCTCCGGTCTCCTCCTGCAGCAACTCAGCAACTTGATGGGTGTTTCACTGGGGCATGTTACAAAACCACTCAATCCTAACATCAGGTTTTAAAGCACATGCCAGTTCCCATCCCAGGTGAAATGGAAGGTACTTGTCGTGAGAGAAAACGAGGTTCTGAGACCAGCCACTGCAATGCAGAATACGTATTATTCTGCTCAGGCTGTGTCTATGAGTAGACAAGTAGAGCAGGCCAGTCAGAGAATACTTGTTGAGCAAAACAGTGGGTGCTGAGGACCCAGTGGCCACACTGGGTCCAACTAAAACATTAATACAAGTGCCCCATCACTCTCCATACATAGTTCAGTTATTCAGACTAGTATACAACATGTTCCCGCAACAGACAGAATTTGAAGCCACTATTTAAAAGATGTGTGATTAATCTTACATTTACTTTCATGTTTTCAGATATACTCAAGGACAAGAAAACCCATCCAGAAAACAGAAACGAACCAAAACCAACTGTGAAAAAGATTGACACCACAACCACCACAAGCACTGTCAAGTCATCCTCTAAACACAATGTAACTGGAAATGGGAGCAATCCAGCCCTGAGTTCCTCACTTGTTATTTTAACAGCACTAGTAGTTCTGTGGCATCGTCCACTGTAGCTGTATTGCCTTGCAGCCACTGCGCGAGTGTTTCTGCTCACTGTCATTTATACCTACAGCCTTACCCAACAGAAAACAAATTTAAATGGCTCTCTAGTTTATCTGATATGTTAGAATAAATATTAAACGATACGCTGGAGTTTGCAGATACCAAGTGTCATCACTTACAATGTCTGAAGATAGCCTTTGACAAAGCCCACCCAAGATACAGAGGGAATGATGACAAGGGTCTGAGTAGCTTAAGTTATGGGGTAGAAATAATTGAAAACACAGAAATTGTGTATGTGTGTTATTGTTTTTCTCAGTTTTGTTTGCTCAAATCTGACTGGTGGTTTTGTTTGTTTAATTTTTCTGATAAATTATATGAATGATCAATCTTCAAATTCAAGCCAATACATACTTCATTTTTCTAGTGAACAGCTAACAAGCTATGTCTACAGTTGTAAACCATGTTAAAGTGAAGTACTCTGTACCAGCTTGATGAAATTCCTAAGTGGTCAAGAAGATCAAAGCATGTTTGAAACTTCTTTTCACTCTTACTGTTTAGACTGTAGGAAGCAACATAAAAGCATATGGTGTGTCTAATATATCAGTATAGTTGCCTTAACTATGGAAAAAATTAGAACCACTTTGTTTACTGAGGGATATAGATAGTGAGTTTCCCTGCCCCACAAAATGCCATTACCAGATGCTTAAGCATATGCTCAAGGCTTATTGGACAAAATGTCCAGCAACAGGAAACATAAATAAACATAACAATGTTTTATCCAGTTGAATGCAGCTCTGTACAGAGAAAAAATGATAATTCAGTTCAAACTTACTTTGCCTATGTGATGTTAAAGAGAAACCAACTTAAATTTTCCATAAAGGTCCCAGAGATATAAATTATTGGGATCTCCCATTAGACACTAACCAGATTTTGTGCATTGTGGATCTCTGAAATCAACTGTTTCATGAACTGTGTATTATTTAATTACATTTAATGTTTAAATTTTGTATCATGGTAGGTGTAAATGTAAAACAATCTGAAACCTAGAATATTCTCTGTTATGCCTCATCTTAACTGCTACCCTAGAAAATGTCAAAATGTGCATTATATTACAAGGCTTTTTTTTAATCAATGATACATTGATGCGTTTTAACTTTTTGGATGAAAAAGTACTATAATAACTTCTAATGGGTTAAGAGTTAATGTGTGTTTTCCAACAACTGTTTACAGTGCCATTGAATATATATACACAAACACAACTCTATGAATACAGTGATTAATGATAAGTATATGAAACATTAGAATTGTTATATTTACTACATTTCATAACTGTTACAACAGTTTAATGGCCATTTTCATGTTGTAGACTATTATTATGTACATTTTTATAAGATTTAATGTAAAACACTTGCCTTTGTTTTTTTGTAAAACAAAGTTACTGATACTTAAAGTTACACAGCCACTGACATAACTCAAAAGAAGAACCCTGTATCTTACTAATCAACTTCAGGCATTTTTTTGGCAACTTTGATTATAAAAGACAGCCTGACTCAAAGAAAATGCCATGTGCTAGTATTACTACTGGATGTCATTATATAGAAAGTGGCAATAATACAGAACAAGCGTACAGTAAGTGAACAAAGACTCACTACACTTGTATGTTTTCAGATCGTATTAGTGAACATGTCTAATTATGTTTGCAAAGGTGGGGCTTGAGTTTCATTTTTAATTTGGGTCTTAGATCTTACAGACAATTATACCTTACAGACATAAAGGTATAATCAGAACCATCAACACACCCAGCTGCAAAGGCAGTGTCTCTAAAGTGGCAGCAGCAAGTTTTCTAAAAGATAATTCAATTTTAATGTTGAAACAAGGAGATAAAATGGAAAAGAGACTTATACTAACATGAAATATTTTATATTTAAATTCTGATTTTTCAAAATGGTAAGGATATTAATATCCCTAAGTAGTGCTTTCCAATCATATCAGTGAAAATCAGTTTTCCCAAAAGTACTAAAATGGCTGTCCTGTGTTTTCCAGGGTTTTGAGCTGCACCAGTCTATTGAACCATAATTAAAAATGCCGCTTCTTGTATTCATTTTCAGTGCCCTTTGGAAAAGTGCACTTTTACCTGAGGAGGTGTGCAAGTCATGTCATTTGTACCATGAAAGGACACCCTAATTCCTTGCAGTCTTAAAGGATCAGTTGTGATGGCTGCTGTTAGACAGGTTGGTCTCTGTGCATGCACAGAAATGTGCATCAGGTGCTAACACTTACCACTAGCTCCTCAGGTAATACCAATCACTGTGGCTTCACTGAAGCACTTCATATCTGTTGCCTGTGAACCTGACCCCTAATTTAGTATTCTCACACTTAAGATGCTCAGTCATCATTCAGGCAAATGCATCCACGTTTGCACACTTAAGTCTCCATCAGGATTTCTATGGATAGAGCTAGGGTTTCAGGGCTGGGCTCTGACGCTACCAGATTTCAGCTGTGCAGCTTGGAGTTTTCAGTTCTTCGCACATGCAGAAAGGGAGCTTGAATACTCAGACTAATGTGTCTTTTTGAGATCTTTTCTGTAAAAGGTTTTGTGTTTTTAGCTCAGAGCAGTGATCCAGCTAGCATAGTATTCAGCTGTAGCAAGAGGAAGTTGCCAAAGCCCTGCTGTAGGCATGTATGGAATAACTCACCTGGGGGATTATTTGTTGTTGCTAAATGTCATAATCTTGCTAAACAAAAACCTCTGAAAAATCAAGTGTTTGAATTTTGGGTTTGGTTGGCAAATATTTGTATGATGTAGCATTCATCTCTCAAGCTAAACAAGACAACCCTTTTAAAGTTTCTGTAACAAAATTAGAACAAGTTCAAACTGTGGAGTGAGATAGAATCAACTCATTTCATTGGATTCAACCAATATTTTAATAGACACAAATTCTTACGGAACCAGGGAAGAGACCTCAGAGGACTCCACACCTATTAATACATTTCATGCTAATATACTTTTACACTGTAAGAAGAGTACTGGTCAAACCAGCATGAAATATGTTCATAATGTGCATCAAAAATGGTGCAGCTTTAAAGGGCAATGCAGTACATTTTTACTGGTGGTTTATGATTTTTTTTCTCAGGATCAGTTGCATTTACATATTAAATTTTGTTTTCCATCAAACAACAAATCTGTACCAGCAAAAGTGAAAACAACTGGCTGTGTCAGGTGAAGGAAGTATTCTTTTCAGATGAGTAAGATACCTGTTTTACAAAATCTTATTTTGTTATCCAGGACACTGTAATTACGATGTAATTACGAAGGTCTAAATTCAAAATACTTTTGAACTTGTCTATGTAATCTCAGTGTAAAATAAGGTACCAGTCTAAGAGCATTGCTGTAGCTTTGCCTAACAGTTATGAATTGTATTTAGCCATTGCTTTTTGAATGTTTATTGTTTTGCTATGACTTTCTTTTAATATTTTGCTGTGCCAGCAGTTGTGAATGCCAGCAGTGGACAGTAACTGCTGTCATACATTTGTGAGTAAAATCAATCTATAATTTTCTCTTGATAATGATGCAGGCTTCTTATCAAATAAGACAAAATTGCCGTGGGCATACAGTCAGTTCTTAGTGTTTCACTGCTATTTGGGCTCCATGTTACACCAGGTTCATGTAAGAGGTTCAAGAGGTTCCTGTGTCGCTAGTCTCCTTCCTGGCTATGAAAGCATCAGGGAGAAGAGTGAACATGGGTGGACAAAACCATGTGTGGCTGCAATGTGCCAGTGCATGGCAACCTCCAGCCGTCTTTTCTGAGGCCCTGAGCTGAGTGTTCTCAGCTAATTTTCAAGCGGCTTTTACACCTCTCCAAATCAACGCATGAAGACTGGCCAGGCAAAGAGCAGCAGAGAATCTAGAGACTGCATTTTCAGGCAACTTCAGAGATACCTGCTATGAATTGCACTTTTTTTGCAATTTAGATGCTTTACAGAATCCAGCCTGTCATTTTCAACCTTGCACTTTTTTTCTGGCTTGCATATTGCCAGTGTATGCCCTGTCTTCTAGTGCATCAGGTACTTTGTCATTGCATAAGGAATTGTGATTCTGATCTCTCACTCAGTAATGAACCTTTTGAGGTACAAATATCTGTCAGAGCTTGATAAGGGCAACACAGATAATAATGTCCAGCTGCATTGACTTCACAGGCTCTGTGTATGGGTATCTGGCTATGAGATTCACATCTCTTTGATCTCTTAAATCAGATCTATATTTAATATATCCCCATTTCCTTTTGTTACCAAGACTGAAATGTGTATCATAATTTTAAATTTGACTCTCTAATCCTGTATGGGTCTTCTCAATATTGTCCTAATCGATGTTGTGCACAGACTTCATTTTAATGTTAGATGAGTCTTTTTGCCCGGATTTACTGAGCCATTCTTACTCAATATTGCACATGATTAGGTTTAGGCAAATTCAAGCAAAAGGAGCTGAAACACACATTAAAGTAAGATACTGAGTAGGACAAAAATCCAGAAGGTCCCTGTGTTCCTGAATTGGACTCTTCACATTAAACAGATTTTAAGGTTTAGCTGTAATTACAGTCAAAATTTATAACTAGCATGGTGTCAAGGGGATTACAGCCTTGTATTGAAAATGGATAAAGAGTCTACCCATTTTTTAAGTGGGAATTAACCAATATATGTGCTTTACTCGTGTCTCTGCACATGGGTAAATCTAGGTCTGTAGAAATAGGAGACATTCCCTAAAATGTATCCTGCACATTGAGCATCACAGCATCATAAGTGCTTCATGTTACAACTAGCCAAAAGCACAAGACATTTATTTTCATTTATAGCATTTCACTACTCACAGTGCTTCTTGTAATGACATACGGCATGTGTGTTAATGAAAAGTGAAACATCTTACAGTCAATGTCATTATAGCTGTAACATGCATTAGTCAAAAAGTACATGATAATGTCTTCTTCCCATTGCTTCAGAAGTCCAGAATTATTCCCAATACTAAATTCTCTTCTGGTTTCCCCTGCCACTCTCTAAATAACTACATTTGAATTGTATTAAATATTAAGCTACCAAAAAATAAATACAGGCCAGGAGATTGTAATAAATAGAGAGATAATAAACTCAGAAAACTATCCTGCATTTAAAATAGAGAATACTCCTAGGTAAGAAATCCCTCCTGGACTAGAACAGTTTTTCAAGTCCCTCTCCCCTCTCCAGATTCATCACCATCCTCTTCCACCTCCATACAGCACAATATGAAACCTGCATGCAGGAGGCTGGTGCACTGAATTCAGGAAAATGAATTAAAACTATTGCTGCGTAGAGATATTTCCAAGTATCTTGCTTAAAGTGGGCCTCCTTTTGCTGGTTATGAGGATGCATTCACAAGTGCAATTGCTTAAGTTCGTATTCGGTAAATAGCCAGTTGCTGCAGCTTTCAGAAAAGGCTGCTGGACACAGACCGTGAAGCAGTATTTTTGTGTTGCTCCCATGTCATTGAGATCAAACTCCTTAAAATAGACTGGTTTAGACATTCTGTTTATTATCAACACTACAATGATTTCCCCCCATGAAAATCATGTAATAACCTTTTGAGAGAAGGGCACATAAAAGAGAAGCCACTAATGCTTTCACGAGGTGCATAAAGTACTTCATTAAATAGCCAGTAACAACCACGGAGATTTTTTTCATTTCTGTGCAGAAAACATTACTACCACCTTGCAAAATTATGCAGTTTGCACTTAATCATTTCAATTAATCTTTAGTAAATTACCCAGTACTTTGTAATTATAATATTTGCAGCTAATTTAGTGCCATCCTAAAAATCATTTGTTGCATAATATAAGCAATTAACATTTATTCAGGTTTTTTTCTGTTGCAGGGGGATATATAAATTATCCTCAGTGGCCTTTCTGTACACCTAATTAGCACCTGTTCGAATTATTCTACAGGCTATGGACATTTCATTTGAAAAATAAATGCATTGCTAGTTTTGTGAACTCCTTGCAAATACACAGTTGTAAAAATTACTTTTCAGGGGAATACAAAAATATGTTTTCATATGTCTTCTGGGTTTATGAGCTAGGCTAGGCTTTTAGGCTTTTACACCTAGAATAGGTACTGACATTTTTAATGCAGTTAAAATGGAAATAGTCAGATACTTCTTTCCCATAATTAAGTACAGTATCCCAGATTTGTAGCCCGGTTTATTCAGTACTGAAGAAGGAAAGCAATAAGACATCAAGAATATAGAACCTAGTGTAACTTTCACATTTCTGCATATGCATATAGAGTTAGGAAGTTTTACTAATCAGAGACTATCAAAAGCATTGCTATGCTGGAGTGTCAAGGATACTATATTAAATTTGTGGAAATTAAACCAAATTGCTTCAATGTCATAAGTAAGCTTCTAAGTAAATAGTAATTTTCTATTTAAATGCACAGTATATTGAGGAAGATAATTTGATCTTTCTAAAAAGGAGATCTGAAAAAAACTTTCTAACGAGAATGCCAATGTCAAATATTTACAACCTCTGCACATACGAAATTGGGAAGTCAAAAAAGGACTTGAGAATTTTCTGTGGGTATGAAGTGTTGCAGCAGACCCTCAGCTCCTATAAGTCAGTATAGCTCCTTTGAGTTCAGTTTAACTATATAAAATTTACCCCAGCACAGTATCTAGCCTAAGAATGTGAATTCCTTCCCATCTTTTTGCAGGTGCAGAAAATCAAGAGTAACTGCAGTGATTACAAAATTTGCATAACCATTTTACATTGCCCGGGCCACTGATCAGATAGTATCTTCATGCCTGAGAAGAAAATCTGTAACACATGGGACACCATAAGTCTTCTGGCATTTTCTCTTTCCAGGGGCACTGCAGAGGCCTTTTCCAGAAGCAGCTGGTATGATTTGGGGCTACAAGGAGATACTCATACTGTGAGTATCTCCTAGGGTAGAAAATCTTTCTCAGAGAAGGTTTGCTGATACAGATCAGGCCTTGAGGCAGATCAAGTTTGATTTTTCTGTTTCATGTTAAAACGTAGGATCCAGGTCTTAAACTGGCCTCAGAAACTAATTGAGAGTCAGTGGAGAGAACTGATGATGGTTTTGGTGTTTTCAGAGAAGCTTAAGCAGCAGAGCAGGCAAGCAGCCATATTCTGCTTCAGCTGAAGCTTGTGTATCTTTGCATTCAGTTTCAGGTAAAATTACCTGTGAGTTTCCAGATCAGTGGTGACAAATTTGTGAGTTACTGTAGCCTGATGTTCTTCTATGGAGAAGAAATGAAATTTCCTCCTCAGCAGAAACAGAAAGAAGGCTCTTTATTTTTATTTGATATTATGCTAAACATCCAACTTGGAAGGAAATCAAAACAGGATGTTTGGCCTCACAAAGACAGATTCCCCTGAGTGGGGTTGTTCTTGGTGCATGTAGTGATAACAGTGTCAGAGTCTGTCTGCTTGTCACAAAAGAGGATGTTGACCCTTTGGCTCTTTTTTGGGGCTTGAGAAAAGCTACAGTTTATGGCTCAAAGATGCCAAATCATTTATAGGCAAAAGTTGTAGACAAGTCCACAAAGCAGTGAAGAAAGCAATAAGACACTTGGTGATGGTCTCATTGAAAAAGGAGAAAATGAATTTAACTGAAATATTTGAGCTTTTGTATTAGAGATGAATAACAGAGTTGAAACCTGCTCCCAAAACACCGCAGTTGCATATGGGAGCAGGCTAATGTAGCAGCAATACTATATAAAATGTTTATTGTATCCCACTTACTATATGGGGCAGTATTAGAATAAAAGTGGAAGCCAGTACACTAAACTTTGCATAATACAACCACTTACTGTACTTTAATATCAGAACTAATACAGTATGAATGTTTACAGTACACTGGGGTAGAAATTCTAGTAAAATATGTGCTTTGTCATTTAGCTTTTTAAATAATTAGTTTATGGCCTCCTAGTCTTTTTTTAGTCCATTTTATTTTACAGGAATTAATAGGCCGCTTACATTTGTATTTTACATTAGTTGCATCATGGGTATTTTAAGTTCCAAAATAGATTGGTTTTGCCCTAAACTGTATTCAAGCTCTAATAATTATTTCCCAAGCACGTGTTTTATTTGCAGTATATCTGCTTATATTTTTATTGAATAACTTTGTCAATTTTCTTCAGTTTGTTTTCAGCATTGAATATGATAAAGGCAATTTAAAAAAGCAGTCTGAAAACAATGTCTTAAAAGAACAACAAGGCTACTTTGAAAAGTTAACGTAAACAGTTTGTTTTGTAAAGGACAGTGAACTATGAATGGGAATAAAAATAAATAATCCACAGCAGGAAATTGTTGTCATCTATCAGAATTTTTGTATTTTTTCCTGAATATTTGTCATCATCTTTGTAAGTTACAAAGCTGATAAATAAAAGTATTTTAATCTGTTCAGATGATGCTTTGCATAAAGGATGCAGACCTTGAGAACTGCTGAGGAACTCTTTTAATATTTTGCTCATAGTCTGGCAAAGAAAGGTCTGTTTCTTCAGCACATAAC